TAAAAATCAAATTAAATCAAAATACAAAAATATACTTACGGTTTAGGTGGTTTAATTTTAAATATATCTTGTTCAGTAATTGTAAGGTATGGTTTTCTATACGGAATTTCTTCTGCAACAAAATAATTATATCGAAAGAAAAATAAAAAAATCTTTCTTACGTTTATTGGTTAACACGATTGCTCCAAGAATCAATGAACAAACAAAGGCAATAACAATAAATGCAATACTTAATCCTTTCCAATTTTGTTTTTTACTTGAACCACCAACCAATTCCTAGACAATAAAATTTATTCGTTCATTAATTGATTCATAAAAATAGTTTATCACATAAAAAATACAAAGTCTTACAAATTTCGTTTTTTGTTTCTCAGATAAAAACATTGCTGGTTCTATTCAAAGCAAATAGACTACACTTCTATGATTCGTAAAAAAAAGTACTTTTCTGCTTGTCTAATCTTATTTCTGTTTACATTCTGACTAGAATGACATAAGAAATAATTAGCTATTATTTTGTACACAAGATTTTTTCTTTAACCTAAAATAATTAAAATGATATTTCGAATTGTTACTATCATTAATGAATCTTTTAAGTAATTATATGTTCGTAAAAAAGTAAACTAACTTTATAATAAATTGATTTAACCATTACTGGATAATATATGAAATTTATATATAATCTTAATCGTTGCTACTATTGAAATGGAATAATAATAATGGGTAAGATAAAGAACATAGCAAAATGAGCAGTCAAATGATAACAATGATAAAGATTAATATTGCTTTTTTTTATTCCTTTTAGCTTACTTCTCCCTTTTTTTATTACACTACACATATATCTATTTATAGAGACATACTTGATTCTTTATTACAATTACTAAGTTAATAATAATCAATTGAATACTCCACTTGTTTTTATTATTAGTTAACATGTAACAAGTACTGACTGTTAATTCTAAGATATGTCATATACATTTTCTTCTCATTTGTTAGCTGACAGATGTATTATTATCAGTTCATGAATATTTACATTTTTACTCAGTTTCTTAGAAGAACTATTGATAATAAAAGTCTTCAAAAAAGATGTATTAAAACTTTACCTGTATATATCTAGCTGGTTGATTTTCACGTATATGATACAAAATAGAAATCATTATTTTACTTTTTAAATACTAAATATCTTAAAGTGTTCTTTGACTTTATAGTAGAAAAAAATTATTAAACATTTATTTAAATTGTCAATCTGTCATCTTTAAAAATTTTAATTGATTTACTTACTGTCATAATACATGCACCAAGCAGAAAATTACGTACAGAATCACTCATTCCTCCCATTCAAATGAAAAAAATGTTTTTTTTCTTAAACTAGTCTATTACTTTTATGCAAAGTTCGGTAAAATGCAATGAAGTACCTAACGCACGTTATCGATAATTATGTATTTAAACTAGATAATTGCATTCATTGAGAAAGAAGGAAAAAAAATAATAAATGAAGTATAAGATATTGTTTGCGACATACTATTTTCACTAAATCATTATAACAATTTAAATATGTTAACATAGAAGTATTTCATGATTGCTTATATTATTTTGCAAAGAAATTGAATTTCTTACTGATAGAAAATATCTGCTACATTCAGATTCTTTTATGTCTATATGTAGATTTAACTTGAAATATAAAACAAGTACAAGATTGGATCTATTAGGATTCTAGTCTAAATAAATATCTATATCCAGGTTAATATTATAAACATTGATAAAAAAATAATAAACAAGATATCTAGATTTTTTTTATTCGATATTAAAATTCTCATACTATTTCCATGGAGAATAAATATGAATACTTGAATAATAAAATATTTTAATTGAGGAAATAACAGAAAAGACGTTATTATTATGATGATGAAAAGTAAGATAAAAAAACAAAATTGTAAATTTAGCTTGGAGGAAATATATTAATCTATCATCACGCATTGTATAAAACTAAGAACATGTTTTTTTGTTGTTGATGTTATAGATCATGAATAATATTACAATATCGTGTTCTTTCTAATTCAATTTATTTAGTTCTCAAATTAATATAGTCATAAAACGCCTATAAAATCATGATTTGAGTCTAACGTAACCACTTCCTTATTAGATTATCCAATAGAAGATAAAAATAGATTATATTTTTATAAAATTCTTGTTATCATACACTTCTAGATGAATCTGACTACTGATTCTTTAATCTTTTTTATATAGAACTTATCCCCAAGGGTATAAATAAAGCATGTTAACTAAAAGTCATTTATTCATTTGATATTATCCCAATATTTCTACATTAATTCCCTCGGATTCTATTCTATTTATTATTTTAAATTGACATATCTATTAATCAATCAAGTTACAAACATCTCTTTGTTTTAATCAAGATTATCTGTCATTGTGTAGTATGTACGCATTCATTTACAAAGTCTTTAATCAAGAGTTGATTAGGATACTAACCTATTTTTACTTCAAATATAATTCCATCGGACATGAAAACATCACTTTTATATCTACTATCTATTATATATGTTTATTTAGTATTAATTTACCATTACTGATGAAGAAAAATAAATAAACATTGTAGAATTATTTACCTGCTCAGCATAGGCACTACTTTTGGCAACATCCTCATCCATCTTTGAAATTATCTATATTAATAATCTTATCAATACTATAACAACAATTCTATGATTATCATACATTGAATATTGTTGATGTTAATCTAGAGATAGAAATACAATTGTACTTATTTATTAATACGACAATAGACATTGACATGAAATAAGAACTCATTCGGAGATAGCAAAATAAACATCTATCTAGTCTAGTATGCTAGCAAAAAAGAAAGACAGTAAATGAGATTGTCCCCAAGGAAATATGAACAAATAACTAAGAGAACGATGAAGCGATTTTTTTTCGGAAAGCAAATTTTTTCTCGTCTTCCTCTATTCTTTTGTTCTATTATTGACGACGAATAACGATAATTATTATCGGAAAAAAGATCTCATCATCATCATCATCATCATAGTCATGTACATCAAAAAACGTTACGTCTGATTCTTTTTTCTATCTCGTAATATTCTTCAATATCTACAATGCTTATTTACAATCACCGAGTACTCAAGAACCCAAAGAAAATATCCATTCACTATATCTATAATTGGTTCCATATCCTTTTTTTTGAGTTGACATATAATAATAAGAGCAGCCAAATAATGGCACTAGGAAAATCCATAAATACCAAATCTCGAAAGTTCATGGTGTAAACATGTTACGATAGAATAAGAAAGTGTTTAGAAAATCTTAAGAAATTAATGTATAAACAAAAAAATAGATTGAAGTTTAAAAACAAAATAGTCTAGACATAGAAGTAACTACTTATAATGAGTTTACCATAATTACGTATATGTATTGATTGTTTTACCAATGATAAGTTATTTGCAATACCAAATTTGCAAAGGAAAAATTAATGATGGGTATTGTCGGAAGCAAAAAACACCGAAATAGTTGTATAGATGAACAGATTAGTCATTTTGTAGAATAATATATCATTATTGTTTAACCTACAATAATAGATATTTGTGTTTTTACAATAATATATTATTTTCATCAACTTGACACGATAATTTTAATTATATACTCAACAATGAAATTAGGTAGTTATAAAGATTAGTTATTAATTCATGAATATATGTTTTGTTAGTAAAATAAATAAATTTTTTTTTGTTCTTTAATCATGTCTATATTGAATATATTTTTAATAAATACGTCAAATCATTAGATTAGATTCTTCTCTTTTCTATCAACATCAGTAATGATACATTTCGACGCTAAACGGAGATTAAATATCTTGTATTAAAGAACTAATTGAGAGCATTTACACAACTAGTAGAGTGTACATAGTTCTACACCCGCAAGGGATCATTTTTTTTCCTCTCCTCTTCTTCATTCTATTATAAACAATCAGCAAATACTGATAGTTCATGAATACTGTTTATATCAAATCTATTTTCCTCGAACTACTCTCTATTACAAAACTAATACACAATTAAATTATAAAATAAATTTACAATCTACACATTTGCTATCCATGTTGTTATTTTAATTATTATACGATCTAATGTTATCTATTCGATTAAGTTATATTAACGAAAACTATTTTAATATGAAATTAATTAGAGTCATAGAAAAATTTCGAATCAGTAGGGGTTTCTTTTTTCTTACCAGTAGAAAATGTTGAAGTGAATCAATACGTGTCATTTTTCAGTTCTGTGATTCCATAATAGGTAAATCAACTCCTTAATTAGTCATGTCCGACTTCTAATAACTATGAGAATAATATAACAATGCTTTTTAGTATTTATTTTCATAAACTTTCTCTCTTTCCCTCTCTCTGTCTGCTTTTTTTTATCCATTCAGACGAATAGTATATTTTATAGAACCACAAATTATATATCAGCTTTCCATAGTTATTAACTGTAAATGTCATCCGTTTCTTGCATTATATTCGTTTTATTATCTCGTATGTCTAGGGAAAAAATATATATATATTACATAAACATCGAGAACAGTACAAGTAGATCTACGAATAAATTACTATAACGCTTGATAATTATCCAAGTTCGTTTTGATAGCACAGTTAGAGGCTAATGTTAATTGCTTATATACGATAACAATGTTCATTACATGAAGAAAAAAAATCTAATAATTTTATTGTAGAAGACGAAAACATTGAATAAATATGTCAAATACAAACACACAATGAATAAAATATGTCAATATATAGATATACACTTTACAAACAACATAAATATTTAAAATTGAATAAATATGAATAAAATAAAAGAGCGAGAATCACCGTACAATCCATTCACCAATAAAGAGAGACGAGAGAAAAAACACACTGTCATTATTATGAATCTCACTCTGTTTGTTTCAAGAGAAAAAAAACAACAAAAAAAATGTTTTTTTTATCGTTTATCATCAATTTCTCCTTCATCGGAATTAACCGTTTCTAAAATACTCACTGTACGTGATAAATATTTTTCACTTGATGATCGTGTTGTATGATTACCTGAATCACTTTGTATACGTTTACGTGCACGTGGTGTTGCTAATGATGCTTGTCGAGATAATTGTGATGTAGTTCGTTTTGGATAATATAATTTTGCATCAGATACCATACGAACAAACATTGGACGTGGTCGTTTGTCTTTAAGTAAATTTGTTATTGGTTTTTCAAATGTAACACGATGATGTGGAGTTATTGTTGTGATTGTATTTGCCTAAAATTATAAATAGTTATGTCCTTTCCTTTTATTTGATTTACTCGAGCTTTTGTTATTGGATAAATTGTTGGAGCAACTGGTGTTTCTGCTAATACTTCTGGATCAGCAGTTTCTTCAGCTACAGCTGTATCATGTTCAGTATTATTTGTAGAACCTGTTTGTTTTGCATTTAAATCAAGTGAATCATTCGATGATGATTTTCGTCCAACACGTTGAGCACGATATTCTGTTAAAACATCCTTCGAATGTTCTTGAATTATATGAAATGCTACACTCATATCATCATCACTAGCATATTTAGCACAAACAGCAAAACGAATGATATAAATATCATTAACCATGGATGGTACCATATGAATAAAACCCGAATCATTTAATGATAGTAGTAATTTTTGATTTAATTTATTACTACCCTAAAAGAAAACAATATGAGATATAGTTATACTATTATTAATTATAATAATTCATTTACCTTTAAACGAAAACAAACAAGACCTAATGTAACATCACCGATAATTTCAAAACGACTATCAGTATTGATTAATGATGCAAATACTTTTGCTAAACGACAATGCTAAAAATAAAATAAAGTAAATTCTTTTCTTTTCATATATATAAAATCCAAATACTTCTCGAATATAATGACGAAGACCTTCAATACCATAACTACGAATTGTAAACCAAAGTTTAAGTGAACGAAATCGACGACTTAATGCAACACCCCAATGCTACATAAAAATATTCGATTTGATTTTGCTTAGATACGATTTAACTTACACGATAATCAACTGCTTTTTGTGCATGTTTATGTTGAAGATAAAGTGGATCAACAGACATCGCATTAATCAATGCAAATTTATCTCGAACCCTGAAAATATGTTTTATTAAATGAAAATTAACTTCAGAAAAAATTACCAAAAACATGAACAATCAAAATTCATTAATAACCATTTATTCGGATTCGTATTAAATGAATCAGCATACTAAAAACAAAATAATTTTAATTGATCGTTTTTTTTTTGTTTTGAATAATTTCTTTATTCTTACTTGTAAACCTTTCATTATATAACGATATTCTTCACAAAGAAAAGCACTGCCAGCATAGGCACCATCAACATGAAACCAAAGTTTTTCACGTTGACATATTTCACCAATTTCTTCTAGATTATCATATGAACAACATGATGTTGTTCCTAATGTACCCGAAACCTAAATTTAAATAAGAATTATTAATAGAAAAATGATTAAAATAAATAACAAACCAAAAATGGTATTAATCCTTTTTCTTTATCTGCTCGAATACATTCTTCTAATGTTTTACCACGTAATGAAAAATGTTCATCAACACCCAATTGTCGAACACGAACCATACAAATTAAACCTGCTTTTTCGACACATGAATGTGCCTAGAATTTTGAAAAAAAATGAAAATCTTCTTTTATTTTATAATTAAAAACCATACGAGTTTTGATGTATAACAAACAAGTCGAGCTAAAATATGTCCATCTTCCATTAATGGATCAGCCAGACGTTTACTTGTTATTTTCTTTGTACGAGCAGCCAACATTGCAACAAGAATACATTCACTTGCTGAACCCTATTAGAACAAATAAATGTTTATACATGTACTTCAGAATAAAATCATTTTAGTAATTAAAAACAAAATTTTCTTACAAGAAGAACACCACCGCCAATATGTCTCGATTGTTTTTGTTCATGACTAGTTTCTCCATTAGTTATTGAACCATGTACATTATTTTCACTTGACTCATCGTCACTTTCAGGAGACGATTCTTCTTCTTCTTCTTCCTCCTCTTCCTCCTCTTCTTCTTCATCATCACTATCTTTATTATCACGATTTGGATCAAATGGAAGAAAACCAACAGGTAATGCCATCATTCGACCTAGTATTAAATCAAAAAATATTTTCTGTTCTTGGCAAAACTGTCAATAGATTTCTCATACCAATCCAATCGAGCATAATTGTTTCAAGTTCAGTACATGCTGGACTTGCTGCCCAAGAAAAACCCACAATTCCAAGTCCAGATGAAAGCATGTCACCAAGTATTGATGGATAACTATTTCCAGCTGGAAAATATGCATGAAAACGTGGATGTTGCCAATGTGTTATCCCCGGCATAATTGCACGTTCAACATCTTTCATTATATTATCCCATTTTTCACTAGATTCTGGTGCATTTTTTGGTAACATTGGTCGTAAATAACCTGGTTCAACTTCAGGTGTAACACGTCGATCACTAGTCAAGAATTCGAAAAATTCTATTACAGTTTAGAAACTTTTGTTTTACTTGATATTTTTAAGATAATCAGCTATATAATCAATCATTTCTTTTCCTCGACGACGAAATTCTTCATCATCCATGCCTGGTACAGATGTTGTTGATTCATCATGTTGAGATTGAGATGAATTTTCTTTTTGATCAGTTTTTTGATCTTTATCTTGTTGTTTAATTGAACTATTTAAAAAAAAGGAAAGAATATATATGCGATAATTGAAAATACAAGTAGACCATTTTCTAATAAAACACTGCCGTTGTAAAGGGAATTGATGTTGATGATTATTATTATGATAAGATAAAGAAAGTGTTACTTGTGTAACTTTAATCATACTGTTTATTCTGATATACGCGCAAGAAAAGGAAATGATGTTTCGAATCAAGAACAGATTTTTATTTATCGGAATTTTGTTTTTTTTCTCATTAGATGAATTCTAGTACAAGCCAAAAACAAAGCAGAATTAAAATCTTACTTTTCTTGTTTAGTATTATTATTTTGATTTTCATTTGTTTTAATTGATATTTGACGAGATATACGAGATGTCAGATGAGATTGATTAGCTGATGAATTATTTGTTGTTGGAACTATTCGATCTAAAAATGTTGATAATGGTACTGATGAACCTGTTTCAGGTACAGATGATGCCATCGTTGTTGTTGTTGTTGTTGTTGTTGGAGAATTGGAATGAAATAGATTTGATAATTTATTATATAATGCTCCGAAGCTTTTATCCATGTTACGATATATATTTTGAGAAATCGATGAATCAATCTAATCTTGATTGGATTTCTTCTTCAATGTCAGTTTTTCTCTTTTCTTCGTTGTTCATCAAACATCCTGACTTAGCAAGAAGCAACTTGAGTTTTCTCTCCCTCCCTCTCTCTCTTTTATTGTATGCTTGCCAACATACTTGAACATTTTTTTCTTAAGACAACAATAAAATGATGGTCTATTAGAGAAAGCAAGCAAGAAAAACCGATTAAAATCCGTGCCAATTCTTTTTCCTGTTATTTTCCAATAATTAAAATATAAGAAGAAATTTTTGTATTATGAAAATAACACGTCAGATAGAGGATAACTATAAAAACTACTTGTTATTTTCAATAGAGAAAATTAAGACATAACAATACGCTTATGTTTTTTTCTTTTTTCATATGAATTTAGAAGCCGGTAAACGAACAAATAGACAACTTCTCCATCAGGCATATATGATAGAAGAATATTAGGTCGGAAGTTATTTTTTATTTGTCCAACAACTTTAACGCCCACTATACGCCAAAGATGTTCTGCTTGCTTTTATATATTGAGTATTGCATTGATTCTTAAACGAACAACTTCCTATATATATATGTTTATTGTCTAATACGGAAATAACTTGTTCAATCGATTAAAAAAAAAAGAAGAAAAACAACAACAAAATACCAATTAAATCACATCTTCTTTCGATTTATTAAGAAAAAAACAAGATTATTATATATATGTATATAAGAAACAACGAATTAATTCTATATAGATATGTACAATTATGTGTCGGGAGAATTTTCAATTTTTATATCATTAAGGTTTAAATAAACTAATTGAGTTTTGTCGACGTTTTTGTCGAGCAAATGCATACATCAGTTCAAAAACTGATGAAGGTGAAAATGATGTTTTTGTTTCATTATTTGAAGGTAAACTTAAAGATTTATTATCATCCAGTGTTGGAACTGTTGGAAAAAGATTTTCTTCTGCTTGTGGTAAAAGTCTAAAATTATTTCGAATAAAAACATATGAAATCAAATCAATAAATTGCGATATACTTGAAAATTTTATTATTATCTAAAAATTGTTTTGAATCATTTGCATCTATTCGAGTTGAATCATCTTTAATATCAGAAAATATTTTGGCATTATAAAGTGATTGAAGAATTGTTATAGCTTGTGTTCTAAAATTAGAAATGTATTTTTTTAAGCAAAATTAAAAATTGTATTTTATACCGTGTAACCGACGAAGCATTACTACCCGACGATTGTTGTTGTAAAATATTGAGCATACATGTTACAGCATCTGATGAGGAAAAACAATTTTGATATGTTTTAAAAAAATGACGTTTCTTTTTTAATTTAATTGACGCACGAAAATTTTGAACAAGATTATTCCACTAAATATATTAAAAGATTTTATGCGAAATATAAACTATATATATACCATTTTTGTTGCTCGAAATTGTGGTGTTTTAGGTTTTTCGTACATGATCAGATGATTTTGTTATTTCGAATTGATTGATTTATTTTTATACGAAACGAACGAACAAAGACGCGCGTTTTAATCGTTCAATCAATGAACCATTCAATTTATTGAACATGTGAGGGCGCTAGCTACATACAAAAAATTTATTGCGACTTGATTGAGATTTATTTATGACATCAAAAAACAGCTATTGAAGAATTTCCGTCATTTAATTGATACTACTTAGTATTATGATCTCTGCCATTATCTTTTATCGAAGTTTTTTCGATCTTACTGTTGTATTTGATTATATCAGAAAAATACGTTAATACTGAATATTTATCTATGTATGTGCTATAAATTTATGTAGATATGTACTGGTATACTCTTCATAACAATCAAAGTTCAATGAAACTTAAAGATCATCAAGTTTATATTTTTTTTTTGCACAGCTAACTTTTATTCTAGTAACAAATGCAACTGCTGAGAATATTTTTTGCTATCGTCGACATTACTTGTCTTTATTTAGTTTGAGATCTGGATGTAACTCGGAAATCAATATGATTAATAGTACTTCAGTTAAAGCTTTTATCCTTACTCGGATAATCGACATGAAGTATGATAAAAATTTATTAAGTCTAGACAAAATTACCTCGAGAAAACAAATTAAGATCGCTCTTAGTCCTTCAATACTCTCAACATGTAGTAAATCCCTAAAATTTAGCTATAGCATGCAGAAAAAACAGAATCAGTAATGAGCGCGCAAGAGACAGAGTAATCCAAAAATCTAAAATCCGTTGAAAATAATTGCCTTTTCTTATTATAAAATAAACTTGATATTTAAATTTTAATTAATAAAGAAATTCATTTCAAACTTCGGAAATATTAAATATAGGTTAATAAAAATAATTATCAATCTATCATATACATGACATACGAATATAATGTGAAATGTCCTTCAAAACGTACTTAACATTTTGTCCTTGAGAAAATATCCTTCAAGATAAATATCCTTGATAAAAATGTCCCTGATATGAAAATATTTCTCATAAGTGCTATCATCATATCACTATTGATTCTTTTTTTTCTCACACAATATGGTCAAAGTCCAGAATTGTTCATCCACTAACCAAAAACTTCTATAATCAATTTAAAAATAATTAAATCATATGAAAAAAATTACATCAGATGAAACTATATGATTAATCTTATTATCAACCATTGTGTTCATGGTCTTCTGCAAAAAAAAACCGAGAATATTCTGATAAGAATTCTTTGTCAAGGATATTCTTCATACGATATGTTATCATTTATATTTCATAAGAATGACATGATTTTCAATGAACTATTTTTCTTTGATTTATTTTAAACAACTAATTACATGTATATTGAAATAAGCAAACAAACAATAGATGAACTGCAGAAAAAAACAAACAAATGTCTGTAAATTCGATGAGAAATACGCAACAAATTTTCATATCTACTTAAATTAATAGAAAACAACAGTACTACTGACAATAAGTAATAACAACAAAGATAAATGAATATTTCTGAGTTATAATATTAATAGGAAAAGAAGAATATGAAAAAAAGAAACAACAATAACCAGAGATCATAAGAGGAATGTACAATTTTATTCCTAATCATTGGGTTGAATCAAACAACGAAATCTATTGATAGTTTGTGAACAACAAAAACGAATTATTTTACGATATGGTATTAGATAAGAATTTTTCCGATATTTCCCACTAGGGAGGATCAAATCGATACGGACATTCTCCAGGCATAATTGTTTCTGTTGATGATGAATCTGAACCAAGATTATTAATATTTTTTGCTTTTAATTGATCTGATTGAGTCTAGAAAAAACAACAACAGATATTTAATCATTAGAAAAACAAATGAACTAGATTTTTTATTAATATTACTTTTAATAATGTTGAAATATAATCAAATTTAAATAGAAGTATTGGTTGATCATCAATATAACTATCTTTTGCTCCACCCGGTCCGTTTAATGAGCATGCTGCCAAGCCACATGTCAGCACACCATAAGCGACTATATAGCAAAGCCAAAGTGTTAAATGATGATAACCTGGGATATTAATATATTGTTCACACATCATCCATAAACTTCGCCAGATTTGAACAACACTAATAAATGCTATCAAATGAAAAATATTTGATATAAATGAATAAACATTTTTATGATGTTTTTTAATTAAACATTGAATTATTGGAATTTGTAATAGAGCAAGAAGGAAAAATAATGAATAACCAATTGTAAATGAGATTAACATTGATATTGATTTATTATCAGGAGATATATATAGATCAGAAAGATTATATAAACCACGCCATGCAATGACTACTAATGGTGCTTCAACAATTTCATAAAGTATAAAATCAAATGTATATTGCCAAAAACGATTTGCCTAAATAATAGAAAAAATATTTTTAAATTTAATTATCATGTTAAAATACATTTTCAATGTGTACGAAAGAAAAACTAAATCACATGAAATATTTCTGATTGATTAATATTATTAAGATGTCAAAATAGAAGAACAAAAAATTGATAATTTATGAGAATTTCTTTAGATTTGATCAACTCTATTGTTCTTATATCAATCGTAGAATTTTCTAATGCATAGTCTTAGTCATATAATTTCTTTCTAATTCTATTTAGTACTTTTTGCTGTCTTCTACAAAATAATAATAATTCTTTTACGTACTGTAATAGTATATTTTGAACCAAGTATAAAATAACTGTCAGTATCAATACCGATTAAAAATGGTGCTGAATTAAGATTATAAATTGATTTCATTATTATAAGAAATATAACACTTATAAATGTTTCAATAAATAAATGATACCAGTTGTTACTTGTTAAATCTAATAAATTCCATAAACCACGCCATTGATTAATATAAGCAAATGCCATGATTAATGTATATAATCTTGCCATAACTTGTCCTAAGAGATTTTTTCGATATTTTTCATAGAAATTTTGAAGACAGTTTTGTATTAAATAGATGAAATAAAGTATAACAAAACCAATAGCTAGTGAAATAAGTGCACTTCTACGTGGAGAATCCGGTAATAAATATATATCAAGTAAATCCCAAGCACCGCGCCAATGTAAATTAACAAATGGTGTTATGATAAATGCTGATATAAACATATCTGTTAAATAAAGTTTAATAAATGAACAATAATTTGTTTTTAATGTATCTGTTGTAGATTTTATGATAACATCTTGAGTATAGACTGGATATGTTTGATTTTTTTCATTGAGAAGTGGTCGAGCAAGGCTTGTTTCACTGCCTGATGAGCTTAAATTTAAATATGTATGATATTGAGGAATAATTAGTGTTGTAGATTGTGATAAATCATCAGTATTAATTGAATCATTATCATTTTGATTTAGTTCTACAGTTGAATATTGATTAACAACGCCATTATTTGTTGAGAAATCTATGTCCGAAGATGGGGTGAGAAAATGATTTTCATTGTTTAAATCAT